GGTATTTTTTCTACAACTTTGTTATTGCTATCAGTTTATCAAACAGCTGCTGAACGTAGCAACTTTAGAGGATTTTTGTATATTAGAGTCATAAATAAGGTATCAGTGCATCTTATGGTAACTTCTTCGGCCAAAAGACGGATATTTATAACTTTCACAATTCTTGCTTTAATTCGATATTAATAACGCAAGTAATGACAATCTCACCTACTGGCCATCTATTTTCATCCTATTCCAAATTTACGCTTTCCAGTACATACAGATTTAGGAATACAACTTAAACATTAACACCACTATTACCAACCACATAAGAAATAAAATTGTTTCCCAACCGAACGTTTTGTATGAATATTTTGATAATATTATGTTTTTTTTTTAATACAATGGGGGTGACAAACGAGATCACGGTCCACTTGATTGTACGTGGATGCTGTGGCCCATAGACATTTACATTTATCCTCTATTAAGGATCAAAATGCAGTCACCCCTGAGAACTAAGATGTAACTTTATTTTCACTTGTTGTACTTTATAGTTTCAGCTTAGAAAAGAATATATACTTTATTTACTCAAAAAAAGTGGCAACCCTATTGTCGGTAACCATACGAAATACAGGCAGCGTTAGGCTATCATTTTACGCTGGTATTCTGTGAGAGCGTGATCCTTACCCGGTCGAGTCGACCCATTCGTGCTACAATCATAATATAGTTGCAGCGTGTCTCTACCAGGTAAATGATTTGGTTGAGTTTGGTACGTCAAAATGCATGCTGTAGCTTACTAAGGCTACAGAACAAATTGGGCAGCTTGTGCATAGAAAGAACACGCTTGCAAATATCACTAACGTAAAACAGCAGCACAATGCGGCTATGTTTTCGTGTGGTGATAAGAATCTGAGACCCTTTTTACATATAAAAAGACATTAAATCTTAGTCATCATGGGTGATATCGCATTAATTGTCTATGTGCCACATTGCTCGTTTGTCACCAATACTTCCTCAATACATAATTTTATTCATTCGGTATAAAACAGAATAGTTCAACGTAAATATGTAAGCAAATTATACATTAATGTTTATATTGCTTCCATTATTGAGATTTATATCAACTGCTTAGAAATTAACTAAAATAAACGATTACAGTTCGTACCATGGCGTATGATTAACGAATATCAGACCTGTGATTACAATAATCGTTTGTGAGCAACGCACACACCCTTCGTCGATTGCCGATTCTGTGCTGCTATTATTCATGCGTAAAGTAATTGCTAATAATTCTAGTTCTAAAAAATAATAAGGCGTCATCGCGTTTAAAATCGGCGATTAGATTGATTTTTTAATTATTCATCAAAATAATTAAGAGAGTGTAAAGACTGGTCTATATTTTAACTAGCACATCGTCCATTAACATTTCTATGTAAAAATTCAATAAGTTAAATTATTAGGTTCTTACATATTATGAAATTAGCGTTTTGTCGTACTAACCACTTTGATCTGAAATATCTCCTCTTTGGTTAAGAATTTCAAATTCAAATTTATAAATTCATTTAGCTGATACATTTGAGTTTTGAAAACAGTCATTCATTTGTTTCTTCCTCATTATTTTTTTCTTTGGTGTCGCTTATTACCGCACAATGGAAAACATGAAATATCGGTATATTTACGAGTACGAGTTATACCGTGGCACCAGTGCTGCAGAAACAGCTCGAAGGATTAATGATGTGTAAGGCGCTGGAGTCGCAAAAGAAAGCATGGTACGTTTTTGGTTTCAACGTTTTCGTTCTGAAAATTTCGACCTTCAGAACCAACCCCGTGGACGGCCGGAGACCAAAGTGTAAAATGAAGAATTAAAGGCTATTGTGGAAGCAGATCCATCACAAGCACTTCAGAGATAGCTGCAGGCTTTAGGGTAGGTGATAAAACTGTATTAATCTACTTGAAGCAAATCAGAAAAGTAAAAAAACTTGAACGACGGGTACCTCATGAATTAAGCGAATCGAACTTGAAAACACGCATCGACTGCTGTGTTACTTTGCTCAACCGACACAATAATGAAGGGATTTTAAATCGAATAATTACTTGTGATGAAAAGTGGATACTGTACGGTAATCGGAAGCGTTCGTCGCAATGGCTGAACCCTGGAGACCCAGCCAAATCCTGCCCTAAACGAAAATCGACTCAGAAAAGTTACTTGTGAGTGTTTGGTGGACTAGCGCGTGTGTCGTTCACTATAGCTTTCTAAAATTTTATTTTATTTTCTAATGATTACGGCAGATATCTATTGTCAGCAACTGCAAACCATGAAGGAAGAACTAGCTGCTAAACAACCGAGATTGGTCAATCGCTCTAGGCCACTGCTGCTTCACGACAACGCAAGACCACACACTGCACAACAAACAACCACTAAGTTAGATGAGCTACAATTGAAATGTCTGCGACATCCAACGTATTGCCCGGACCTTGTTCCAACAGATACTATTTTTTCCGGAATTCGGACAACTTCCTACAAGGAAAAAATTCAACTCCGATGCGGCAGTCCAAACCGCCTTCGAACAGTTTATTGATTCTCGCCCCCATGGTTTTTTTAGTAAAGGGATCAACGAACTACCTATGAGATGGCAAAAGTGCATAGATAACAACGGTTCATACTTTGATTAATTAAATATATTTAAAAAAATTGACTTTAGTGAAGCGAACTCACACAAGAAAATCTGGAAAGTTATCGACAGTTTCAAATCAAAGTTATTATTTATTATTTTTTCGAGTTAAGGTTTTTTGAGCTTTTACGAACACCAATTACGAAAACAATTAGGGATCACTTTTTATTTTAAATATTTATATTATTAAAAAAATATAACCGATTTCAGTCATCGACGGATCTGGTTGTATTAATTAATATGATACCGTAACGCAGTGAAAGTACGACTGTACGAGTATATTCTTTTAACACCAAATCAGCAAAATCATTAAATAATCTTTGAGACAATCTACACATTTATATAAAAACCGGTCAAGTGCGGGTCGGACTCGCGCACCGAGGGTTCCGAACAATTCCGTAGGTATATAAGTTTACAGTTATTAAAAATATTTTTATTATATGATGTAACTAAAAATTTGTCCTTTTCGCAATTTTTCCTTTATCTGTGCTATAATACGTTGCTTCATACCAAATTTTAAGATACTGAGTTCACGGGAAGTACCCTGTAGGTTTTGATTGCCTTGCGAATGTCGAAATTTGCGGCATAAACGGCTGTATCTTTTGATTGTGTTGGCTTAGAAGTTTAGTTTTTCCAGCTCGAAGGGACAGTAGACTTGAGTATTTGATATAAATTTCAGATTGATACCTCCACGCGTTCCTGAGAAAAAGGGTCTTGACAGACAGATAGACAGACAGACAGACGGACGACAAAGTGATCCTATAAGGGTTCCGTTTTTTCTTCTTGAGGTACGGAACCCTAAAAATGAAGTGTTTGTCTGTAATATTGAATTAACTGGCTTCTATTAAGCTCAGGTGATTATTTGCATGCTATTAAGACATAAAAAACAAATTTAAAAAATCTGTATGTCCGGGCTATTCTTCGAAATGGCTGAACCGATCGTGATGAAACTTAACGAACAGATAGAGAGCAAAGTCAGGAACGATCTAAGCTATATTTTATCCAAAAACTTGAAGTTACTTTAAAAAAAAAAAGATAAAATAAAAGGTATTTGATTATCTTATATCTAAATAACGTAACATTAATAGTTCCGATGCATTAGTCATTTTTCATTTAAGATATTTATATACGTGGCTGGTCTGAAAAGCTACCGACCTTTTTCTTTTATAAAATAGGGGTGACAAACGAGCACACAGTCCACCTGATCGTAAGTGGTTGCTGTGGCATATAGACATCTACATCTATCATCGTTTGCGAATTAAAGTGCAGATGCGTTGTCAGCCGTGAGGACTAAGATAGAATGCCTCTTTTCTAGTAAAAAGGGTGTCCGGTTCTCTACACTCACCACACAAAACACAGCAGCAAGAAGCTGCTATTTTACGCTGGTATTCTGTGAGAGCGTGGTCCTTCCCCGGTCGAGCTGACCCTTTCGTGTTACAACTATACTAATAATGTAGCAGCAGCATGGCTCTACCACGTGAAAAACCTAACAAAGATACAAGATAGTTTTTCTTAAAATTTATTTTTATTTTTCTACATAGTCTCCTTGTAACTCTACACATTTCTCCCAGCGATGCTCCCATCTCTCTAACCCGTCCAAATAGTACTCGGCGTTTTTCTCTGCAAAAATAATTGTTCACGAAGGTGGTTGCCTCCTTATTTGACGAAAATCTCTGTCCTCCGCGTGCATTTATAGACGAAGGAACAAAAACAAGTCACTTGGAGTTAAATCTGGTGGGTAAGGTGGATGGCCAAGCAGTTCAAACCGTAATTCGTGGATTTTCGCCATGGCAACCACTGAGGTGTAAGACGGCGCGTTGTGATGGTGAAACAGGATTTTCTTTTTCTGCAAATGTGGCCGATTTTCCGCAATTTCTGCCTTCAATTTGTCAATTAATGATGCGTAGTATATCTACTCCTGTAATGGTTCTTCCTATTTGAAGATAATCGATTAAGATAACTCCATGACTATCCCAAAAAACAGCCGCCATCACTTTCCCAGTCAAAAAACAGTTTTTGCCTTTTTTGGAGCCGGTTCCCCCTTTGCAGTCCACTGTTTTGACTGTATTTTTGTTTTGAGCGTATATTGGTGTATCCAAGTTTTATTTACAGTAATTAATCAGCGCAAAAAATCGGATTTATAGCGCCTAAACTGTGCCAACAAAACTGCGCTAAAAATTGTTATAACAATGGAAACTAGAATCATTTTTAAAAATATTACATTTATGTACGTACTTGAAACTAAATAAAAGCAGTTTTCTTTCGAGTTTGCTTTTATTTAATTAATTATTACAGATAATCAGGTAACTGTTGGAAGCTTTTTAATTCAAGTGTCACTTATTGTTACAGGTAACAGCGAAGTTCCCGGTGGTACTCAAGATTGGGCACGCGCACAGCGGTGTAGCCAAGGTGAAAGTGGACTCCTTGGCCGACTTCCAGGTAAACCCTGCTCAATGCCGCGTTAACTGACGCGATAAACTGTGTAATTTTAGCGAATACTATATTTTAATCATAATTTGACTAGTAGGTGTCAGAAACACCAGTTATCCCGTATTAACTCTTTTCATATAAAAAGTCAAAATTCCACAATTTTTTTTTGTAAAACCGTATTATGAATTATGTATTTTATTATAATTATATTATTTCATCATCAAATTCGATTATGCATTATTTATAAATAGGTAAAATTTGCTTGGCCACGAAGCACGCCGTGGTAACCTATAATTAAGACAACATTTAGTTACTTAGTTCTTAATCCTAGAATAGAAATATTGTAACAACAAATAATAATGTATGCCTTGTTGGTTATCCTCAATAATAATAATAAAAACAAGGTGCGCTTATCGTTCTGTTTTCGATTTGTAATCTGAACACTTTCATTGAAGCTTAAAAATATTTTTATGGTTGCTTCGCGTTTGTACATGGCAATAAATGTGATAAATGATGTAAGTACTGAAATTTATCGCTGGCGCCTTTAATATTTTTTTTTTCATATCACGCAGGTGATCCCTATGGGCACAAATTATACGTATAAGCTTATGCATGCAAATTTCGTTAGTAGTTTTAATCGAAAATTAACGCATTATATTGAAATAACCACTAGCTACTTAATTAAAAAAAAATATATGGAAATATATTTGCTGTGGTCTGTGGTGGATAATCCATCGACCATATTCCGTAGCATGGCTGTCGAAAGAGTTGTATGGAAAATATGCAAACGTCTAAACTATCATGTGTCGTACCTTCTGACGGCAATTTGCTTGTCGCGCTTAGTTGTTTTGGACAATCCTACGAAATGGGACATAATTTTTACGGGTTGATAAAGAGAAATAACGTTACATTTTAGAATTCAACAGTACCGAAGCATAAAATAAAAATAATTTTCAAAACAAATTAGCTGATAATGACCGTGTCTTTATGACCTATCAACTGTACAAAACTTATTATGGTGGTGGTAAGTGTGCTTAAGTATAAACGAGCAGGCACAAGATGTGCCAGAATACACTGTGAAATGTCACAGTGTGTTTTGGCACTGTTCGTTTTGTCTACAGCTCGGTCTACCGGCTAATAGGTTACGCATTCGTTATATAATATTAACAAGTTATAAAACAAAAGAACACTTTTGTTTTGGCATGAAACTTGGCTCCAACTGAATTTGAATCCTTGCAGCCAGAGACTGTGGTAGAATTGTAATAAATATGACACGTGTTCAATCAATCCGAAATTAATTTCATTACTAAAATGGAAAAAGAAATTAAACGTTAAATCTGTATTTAGCTTAAACTTTAAAATTGTTTCAAAGTTATAATTCTGCTCGTCCGAGTTTTAATAGAATCATAACATAACTGGCTTTCAACTAGGAGGACATCATCAGACTATTTAATCTATTATGTACATTATACTAGTACTAATTTGTATTTTACTCTCTTGAAATTGGTTCCCACACTTAAAAAAAAAGGTATAGGTATAGACTAATTTGCAGGGTGACATGCCTCTACTTGCGACTTGAAATGCCGTTGAAAATCTCCTTTATTTCTTACTTAAAAACATTATTCCCACGAAGCAAGGATTTTGCACTAGAAAATTTTAAGTAGCGTTTTACATACATCGTTTATACATACATCCAGGTTATTTATCTGTAGACCATACAAATATTTATTCCGTGAGGAGTTTGAACCCGAAGCGCCCCAGTTAAACGCTTAGCCACTACGCTGCTGAGCCGTAAAAGAATCATACAGGCTGATTAAGAAAAAATTTTAAATAATAACCTGTTGATTCTTGATACTTTTAGGATATTACGGGTGTGGTCGCTATGCTGGGAACTTACTGCACTGTGGAGCCATATATCGACGCCAAGTACGACATCCATATACAAAAGATCGGTACTAGCTACAAAGCTTTTATGTGAGTACAATATACATTACCTATTTAAGTAACTGTACCTAAACTTATTCTGCTTTAATATTACCTGCAAACCTCACCTACATTTGTACCCTGCAAATCATTTTATATGATTGAGATGGGCAGCAGCAACTTCATGTTAAAGGCTAAATATAAATAAAAAACATGCGTGAGTGTCATGAAACACTCGGTTGGAACGAAGTTCTTTTCGTAGTATATTATTATTGATAAACGTATTATGTTATTGATTAATATTACAAATAAATGTATTACTAGCGTCTATTAAAATGAAGCGTCATTTAAAATAAAATAATATTTCTTTCATGGCAAGATAAGAAAAAGTGCGAGGGAGATGGATATTATTCCGTCTGGCTTCTTTATAGCCGCAAAGGCCGTCTATACTACGTCAGAAGGGGTCGTGACGGAAAAATCTTACACTTTTCTTGCCTAGCCCCCATCCGTTGACGGCTTTTTGATTGACGGCTCCGTGGCGCAGTGGATTAGCAATCAGTTGTTGCGCTGGGGGCCGCGGGTTCGAATTCCGCACGGAACAAGAATTTTTATGGCCTACAAATAATTGTTCCGGATCTGGACGTTTATCCTTGTGCAATTTATGTTTGTAAACTGCCTCCACGACACAGGAGAAAATCCTAGTGTGGGGATAATGTTTTGAAAAAAAAAAAGAATCCGTCAAATTCGTACCATCCGACAAAGAACTTCGTTCCAAAAAGAATTGCGGTTGTCTGTCCACCTCCTAAGCGTAGTAACAATAAGGATATTGAGACTATGAGGTGATCTATCAATACTGCTAAACAAACGCCTTACACCTTTGTTCAGCGGTAGAATCTAGTAAGTACGAGCCTTTGGCTACTTAATAATACTTGTTCCAAAATACCGAACCCGAATGCAATGTCGATACGAAAGTGACGGCTCTACGCTCTCCTGCTCGTTCAGTGTGATGAATGTTAGGCATATCTTTAAAGTTATGTAATAGTGCATTCTTGGAAAAGCCTTATACCACATTGGATCAAGAGAGACTTTTTAATAGAATTAGGATGATAAACGAACACACAGTCCATCTGACGGTGAGTGGGTACTGTGGCCCTTAGGCATACTATACATCTCGATTAGGAATCAAACTTATTTATAACGAGAATTCCTCGAAAGGATCAGTAAAACGGATCTCCGCTTCTCTACACTCACCATACTAAACGCTGCAGCATTATTTTAGGTTAGTAGTCTGTGAGAGTATGGCTTTTCCCAAGCCGACCTATTCGTTTAACATAATATAGATGTAGCGTGGCTCTACCACGTAAAAGTAATAAAATAATATTTCCATACATTACTTTATTTTCAAGTTCTTAAGGGACATCTTCTTATAACTTTATGAAGGTAAACTTTATTATACAAGATGCAATAAATCTTACACAATACACATTTTTAACATTTGTTTATTTAAGTACAAATAAAAATACAAGAAACTTAATAAAACATCAAAGACATAAATAATTAATAGAAGTAACAGGAAAGCGAACATCCATTCTCTTCAGCATTTCAGTGTGAAATTATACATTATTAAATTAAACGAGGTATGAAAAAACGTCAAGAAACACAGTTTAATAACGTGAAATCTTTTTTTCATACGTTATTTATCATTGTTTGTTGACCTTCCAGGATCATTTCCAACATTTGAATGAACTGCGTAAATATTACTGCATCAGTAAATTTGGCGCCCGATTCTGGGAAAAGGCCAGAATAGTAAATATAATTTGACGAAATCTGCACTTGGCCTCTGCTCCATATTTAAACTAATAATATAATGTCCTCCAGACTGGATTTCGGTCACGTCGGCCAGTCTCAACTGAGACTAGCCATCTGCGCAGGACAGGATTATAGTGCCCAACTGTATGCGCAAGCACAGGTGCACTCTCTATTTCCTCACTCTCATAGTCCGATGGGACGGTAATTCGACACGAGGCAGGACTACGGCTTATGTGCTTTCCGAGGCTCAAGGGTGAAAGACCGCCAACTTTCTAACTCCGGATTGCTACTGAGAATTTCTTGATAGTTAAAACAAAGTAACTTTTATACATAGTAGAGCCATGCTGCAGCTATATTAATAGTATAGTTGTAGCACGAATGGGTCGGCTCGACCGGGGAAGGACCACCCTCTCACAGAATACCAGCGTAAAATAGCAGCTTCATGCTGCTGTTTCGTGTGGTGAGTGTAGAGAACCGAAGACCCTTTTTACTGGAAAAGAGGCATTCTATCTTAGTCTTCACGGCTGACAACGCAACTGCACTTTAATTCGCAAACGAAGATAGATGTAGATGTCTATGTGCCACAGCAACCACTTACGATCAGGTGGACTGTGTGCTCGTTTGTCACCCCTCATCATCATCATCATTACAGCCCTTCACAAGTCCACTGCTGAAGATAGGCCTCCCCCAAAGAATGCCACAAAACACGGTCCTGAGCCACCTGCATCCATCGACTTCCTGTATGTCTTACCAGGTCGTCACTCCATCTCGTGGGGGGACGCCCTACACTTCGCCTACCGGTACGAGGCTGCCACTCGAGAACCTTTCTTCCCCATCGGTTGTCGGTTCTTCGAGCTATATGGCCGGCCCACTGCCACTTCAGCTTACTAATCCGTTGGGCTATGTCTGTCACTCCGGTTCTACTGCGGATATCCTCATTCCTAAGTTTATCACGCAGAGAAACTCCGAGCATAGCCCTCTCCATAGCTCGCTGAGCGACCTTGAGCTTCCTCATACGGCCAGCAGTGAAGGACCACGTCTCAGTTCCGTAAGTCATCACTGGCAACACGCACTGGTTGTACAATTTCGTTTTAAGGTTTTGAGGTATGTCTGACGAGAAGATGTGTCGTAGCTTCCCGAACGCTGCCCAGCCGAGTTGAATCCGTCGATTGACCTCTCGGTCGAAGTTGGACTTACCCAGTCGGACTATTTGTCCCAGGTAAACATACTCGTCAACAACTTCGAGCTTAGTGCTCCCAACAACTACCGGCATAGGTGTGACATGGACATTAAACATGATCTTTGTTTTGTCCATGTTCATCTTAAGACCTATCCGTTGGGAAACACTATTGAGGTCATTGAGCATAGTGCTTAGGTCCTCCAGCGATTCTGCCATAAGGACTATATCGTCGGCAAATCGAAGGTGAGTGATGTACTCGCCATTGATGTTGATACCGTATCCTTTCCAGTCCAGAAGCTTGAAAACGTCTTCCAATGCAGCGGTGAAGAGTTTCGGGGATATGACGTCACCCTGTCTTACACCTCTCTGCAATTGGATAGGTTTCGTACTCTGGTTCTGTACTCGGATAGCCATCGTAGCTCTACTGTACAAGCACTTCAACACTTCGATATACCGACAGTCAACTTGGCACCGCTGAAGGGACTGCAGCACCGCCCAAATTTCGACGGAATCAAAGGCTTTCTCATAGTCCACATACGCCAGACATAGTGGCAAATTGTACTCTTCGGACTTCTGTACAACTTGCCGAAGGGTATGTATGTGGTCTATGGTGCTAAAGCCCTTTCGGAAACCGGCTTGTTCGGGAGGCTGGAAGTCGTCAAGTCTGCGCGCGAGACGATTCGTAATGACTCTCGAAAACAGCACGTAGACGCGGCTCAGAAGGGAAATCGGTCTGTAGTTCTTCAAGAGAGCGTTGTCACCTTTCTTGAAAAACAAGACCACCGCACTTCTGCTCCACGCCTCCGGTGTAATGCCACCATGGAGGACGGAATTAAAGTCAAATTAATGTCACCCCTATTCTATAAAAAAAAACTGATTTTGGCTCGACCCGGGTTTGAACCGGAATCCTCATGATCAGTAATCGCGATTACGACCAGTAGACCAACGAGGCAGTGATTTTAACCAATATTGTTTACTTAGCAACGCCTACTGTTGCGTGTTTGGTCAGAGTTGAACTAATACAGATAACGATTACTATAAATCGTCAGGCGTTGAATAATAATAGCACAGTTGTAATTCGGTTGTGTTTAGTAAAGCAAATGAGTGTATGCATATATTTTAGTTACTCCCGTAATAAAATCAATCCAATACACATTACAAACGTTTCCTAGTACTTCTTCAAAATAATATAAGTAATATGTCACTAAATATTAATCTTCTGGAGTTTTATTTTGCAATATAATTATCTCAATATTTATATACTCGTAATATGTGAATATCTTTCATATCTGTGTGCGAGTTTTTTTTGCTTTTTGGTCAAAACGTTACTGGCACTTACTTAAAAAATTAACGTCAATTGGAGATATTCATTAATCTTACATAATTAATTTAATTAACTTATACGAGGTAGAGCCACGCCGCATTTATAACTTAGTTGTAGCACGGATGGCTCGGCTCGACAGGGGAAGGAACACGCTCTCATGAATACCATCGTAATCGTGAGTGTAGAAAACTGGAGACCATTTTTACTGGAAAAGCATTCCATCTTAGTAGTTTAGAAGCGGCAGTAGCCTAATGGCAGGGCACGGACCGCGAACTCGAATGGTTGTGGGTTCGAATCCGCCATTCGACTACTGTCGTGAACCACTTCTAACACAAACATTATAAGCTTACCAGAAGTGGTTAAAGGAAATATTAGTAATGTTTAATCGCATTACTAGTATTTGTTTTAAATAAAAAAAATATAAATATATCTTAGTCCTCAGGGATGAAAACGCACCTGCATTTGATAATTTATAGAGAATATATGTAAATCTCTATGGGCCACACCACAGCATCTACTTATGTTGTCATGTCATTGAGTCATCATTGCATGTCAGTGAGTCTCGTAAGAGACATTAGTTGGAAACGAAACAGGAGATGGGCAGCAGTATACCCCTCATAACAACTAAAAATAATAGAAAACTGCGGTTGCCAAACCGCCTCCCAGGTGTTGCAGTTATTGCGTATGTCTATCTAAATAAGCATTTAATTTGATAAAAACATAGATTTATTGTAACTTAATATCAAAGTGTTAGCTTGTTTACCAAAGAACGATTTATAATATGGAAATAATTATTCCAGGCGCAAATCTATATCAGGAAATTGGAAAACCAATCAAGGATCGGCCATGCTTGAAGCTATCGGAATGAACGACAGATATAAAATGTGGATAGATGAGGTATGTATTATCAACATGTTTATTTAATAAAATTTTTCTTTAATTAAAATTATAGAAAAACGATGTAAGGTTTAAAAAGTTTATAAACGTTATGTTGTTTACGAAAAGGATTTCATAATATATAGGATGTAAAAATTATTTTCGCATTGTAACGAGTGATGATTTTTATATGTGAAAATTGATTAATGTTATTTTTGGACAGGTGAGCGAAATATTCGGTGGATTGGAAGTATGCGCTTTAGAACTGGTAGTGGGAAAAGACGGCCGCGAGCACATCATAGAACTGAACGACTCTGCTACTTCGTTCATGGGTGATACTCAAGAGGAAGATCGACGCTATCTAGCGGAACTTGTCCTGCAGCGTATGCAGGTATGATATTTTTTTTATTCGTTAATTTTGCGACGTGTTTAAATTACATAAATAATGTTAATGTAAATTTTACTAAATCATCTTTTTTTTATTATGGTATTTGCTTGGATTTCTATAATAGAATTGTCCTTATACAATAATTTTATAATGGAATTAAGGATTGTCAAATGATGCTATTCAATATGATTACTATATTAAATATGCTATTTTCGGATATTAAATACAGTGTTACAACTTAACATCTGCACTAAAATATGTCCTTTAAAATGACGTTAAAAGTTATAATTCTGATTCGAACTCAGATATTTAAAAATTGTAAAATTATTTGTCGCAGATATATAAAACTTTACTTTTTACTGAACACCAAGGTATAAAACTATACAATTATAAATTTAAAACAAACAAAAAGAGAAACAAAAGGGCATACTATAGACTACCGCTAAGCCACTTCGCCCTCGATAACCCCAATTAAAAACATCTGCGGGCTAACCAGCTTTCACCTAAAACCGTTTATCATAAAACTATCATAAACTATGATATTTACAAGCAAGGCTTACATACGTGAACAACTATGCAAATGAGTAAACAAAATGACAAAGAAAGATTTCATCAAATAATTTATTTTCCTAGGTCATAAACCTTCAGTCAAGTTATTCACATGAAGTCGTGCTCGTCATCTCGAAAGACTTCGCTTGACTCACAGCTCAATAGGCACTAGGCATTAAGGGTGTATCTTAGATAGGTGTGTATGGCGTGACTGCATCGAATTCGTTTACACAGCTGAATCATCGCATCATGAATGTAGCAATATTAGCTGTAAGCATCATACTATTGCGTTTTTATTATTTATGGACGTGGAAAGGTTAAAATAACCTCACGATCATTCAAATTATGCATATTTAACCGAGTTGAAAAAAGTAAACGTAACGGTTTTATTTATTTATTTTATTTAAACTCTTTATAGCACACAAAATACTACACAAACGCAACAAACTTAAATTTATAAATGTATTAGGTGGCCTTACCTTATCGTTAAACAGCGATCTCTTTCAGGCAAACCTTGGTGAAGGAGATAATTTTCATTTAAATATATAGAAGTGTGCATAAATAGTAGATCATCATTATCATCATTGATAATGATTATCATCATTGATAAGGATGATCTACTAGTAGACAAACAAGTACATATTAATAGTACAAGGTATATATAGCAATAATCAAATACATAATATTATATATACATATACACATAAACACACAAATATCTACATACACACATACATATACACATATACTTACATATACATACATAGAATACATACATATTTTTAAATATTTTTGCAAAAAGGGTTCTATACTCAATGCGTATTTTTTTTATGTATGGTTATTGTTTACTAATTTCTCGGCTGAATCGATTCAGAAGTCACGATGAAACCTTTTATTAATTGAATAAAGAAATTTTTCGTGTGATTGTGTAATAAAATAAAAAGTAATATTCTTTCCATTACTGATATCCATGTATACTTAAATCAAGATAGCAATAGAAAGTCTTTGAGCATAATCTTCAGATATTAAAATTAGTAATATAGTAGTCAGTCAGTAAGACACGCGCGTAAATAAGTATAAGAAATCATTAATTATAATCATCATTGCAGTCTGTGTGCCGTCCCGGAATAACGAAGACGGTTTCCCGAAGCTCGGTATCAGGCAGTGGCGCAGCATCGCCCGAAGAACGCTCTGCCAGCGCAGGACCGCCTAGCGTGCCACCACCTGCCCCTCTCGCCACTGCTGCCAGCATTGACCGCCCTCTGCCACCTATACCAGCAGAACCCGCCCAGCCACCACCACCACCTTTGGCCAGGCGAGACTCGCAAGGTAAAACTATTAGTCAAGTAGCATTCACTGTTTGCTCTTTTAATAACACTTGCCAAATAAGTATAAATATTATGTATGAGATGGTATTGGTAAAGACATTTTACAATGTTTTTAAAAAAAAAAAATTTTTACTCGACTTCAAAAAGGGGGGATAATGATTACTTACTATTTATGCCCTTTTTCATCATAACATCCCTTTACATGTCCACTGTTGAACATAGGCCCCCTCCAAAGAATGCCACAAAGCACGGTCCTGAGCCACCTGCATCCATCGACTTCCTGCATGTCTTATCAGGTTGTCACTGCATCTAAGGGAGGGATGCCCTACACTTCGTCCACCGGTACGGGGCCGCCACTCGAGAACCTTTTTTCCCCATCGGTTGTCGGTTCTTTGAGCTATATGGCCGGCCCATTGCCACTTCAGCTTACTAATCCGTTAGGCTATGTCGGTCACTCTGATCTTAATGCGGATATCCTCATTTCTAAGTTTATCACGAAGAGAAACTCCGAACATAGCCCTCTCCATAGCTCGCTGAGCGACCTTGAGCTTCCTCCTCCTCCTCCTTCCGGCCAGCAGTGAAAGACCACGTCTCAGTTCCATAGGCCATCGACGAGAATATGTACCGTAATTTCCCGAACGAAGTTTCGGGTCCTTTGCAGCATCCATGGAGTTCACCCTGTGACCATGGGTTTGGGTGCTGTAAAGCAAGGTAGTTTCATTTAAAAGGAGGGGATTCTCATCTTGAAATTCTGAAATCTTGAATTGAATTGATCTTGAATTCCGCTCAAGACCAAAACTGCTCGGGGCAAGCAGAATAGTTTTAGTCATTTTGGTTCATTCGAATCTTAACGAAGTCCGCTACCATCTGGGGATGGCGAAGCCGGCGTAGCTCTTTCTAACCCAGGCGCACTATACTCCTACCCGGGGTGCAAATTAGACCACCCCTTTGTGCCTCGAGCTGGAGTTTGGCGGGGAATTTTGCGGGAAAACTTCGCCGAGTACCAGAACAAACTTGTGTCTGAAGTCAAGTCCTTGTTGAACAAATTCTCGGATTGGGGGTGACTAAATATAGTCCAGTTCAACCCACAGAAGATTTTTTGTTTGCACGTTTACCGCTAAAAAGAACGCCTTTGTCGTATCTCCTCAATTTAAGGGCACTCCCCTTGTTGCCTCAGTCAGTATCGGAATCCTCGGTGCCGACATATCGAATGACGTACAGTATGGTGGTCACTTGGAAGGTAAGGCTCAATTTGCCTCTTAGAAGCTTGGCGTGCTCAGCAGAGCGGGTTAGTATTACATGCCAGCACACTGCTCGCAACTTTACAAGACGCAGGTTTGGCCTCATATGGTATACTGTTCTCATCTATGGAACGAGGCACTTGACCGCATTCAGGACAGAGCGGTCGAGGACCGAGTTTTCTTTGATCGTTAGGATTAATAAATTGCTGAGTTATCGTAGAATAAGTAAAAGAGAGATTATCTATTACCTGCACTGTAACTGGTGATTTTTCACTATTATTACACTGTAACAGGCAATTTTTCACTATAATTACTTAAAGATATAAAAGCAGGATCAGTATAAAATCACTAAAGAAAAGCGCTGTGGTTAATAAGGAAACGAGATAGTGAAACGATTAACGAAAATTAAAACAACAACACATTAGCGATATCGATCTGAGATCGATTACTTGAATTGTTGTTATTACTGTTACTTATTGGAATGTTGATATTTTGTATTTTTTATTATTATTTTGTAGATATGTACGCAATTACGCAATTATTGTAGATAAGTACTCTGCTGTCGTCTCGGTTGGTCGATGTTATGACTGAATATAAGGTTGTGAACTCAAGACTTCTCTGGGTTCGCTTTAAATTGGGACTGACGAAGTTATTCCTTTTGGCTGTTTATGCGCTGGTAGCTTCGTCGTCCAGGGCTGAGCTGGAGGAGTTTTGGGAGAATGTAAGAGAAGTTCTAGATTTGGTTAGGGGAAACGAAAGAATTGTTGTATGTGGTAATTTGAATGGATGGGTTGGTACCGCTCGACCAGGGTAGGAGTCGGTGTTTGGAAAGTTTGGCGATAAAAGGGTTAATGATGCTGGCAAGCTTATACTGGCTGTATGCAAGGAAAAGGGTCTTCTTGTGGCAAACACTATGTTTAATCACAAGAAAATCCATATGTATACTAGAGAAAGAAAGAATGAGAGAAGTATGATCGATTTGTTCCTGGTGGATGACCGACTGCGAAAACAGGTGATGGATACGCGAGTGTTCAGGGGTGCTGACCTGGGAACGGATCACTATCTAGTGATTACTAGATTTAGGGGTCTGTTCGCGGGTTGTCGCTACCGGACGGCAGTAACAGAACCACAGTCGGTCTGTCGCATCCGAAGCTGGAAGCTTCAGGAAGCGGATACTAGGGACAAATATCATGCGAGGGTAGCCGAAAAGCTTGACACCATCGATGGCAGAAAAGAATGTGTGGAAAGAACATGGCAGAACCTTAGGGATGGAATGGTAAGTGCAGCGGAAGAAGTGTGTGGAACGATAAAAAGAGGTAGTAGTAAAAGAAGAGATGCATGGTGGAATGATGAAGTGAAAGAAGCTGTAAAGAAGAAGAAGAAAGCATGGTTAGACTACTTTGCCTCTAATAATGATAAGGATATGAGAGAGAAGATGAAAGAAAGATATAAGCTGCAGAAAGTTCACACGAAAGCATTGATTGAGGAAGTGCGTGAAAGGTGTAGAATGGAAGCGGACGAAAGGTTGTCGCACAACATTAAAAAGAACTCCAAACTCTTCTGGAAAGAGGTTGGAAGGGCCCGAAGTGGTGCGACGGCCTTAAGAATAAACAAAGTGCTTTCGAGAACCAATAACGTCCTCTCAGAAAAATCGGAGGTCATGCAGCGATGAATTGATGATTTTATAGAGAAATGTATGCGTGTGATGATCTTAGTGAGGGGTCCGGGGGTGACGCCGTGACTGGTACGCCAGACCCGGACCTCAATGACACTGAGGTCATCAGTATGAAAGGGATTTAACGTGCGATTCGAAGTTTGAAATGTGGTAAGGCTGCAGGACTAGACAGAATTACTGCTGAAATGGTCAAGTATGGTGGGCCTCGCGTCTGGGAAAGCTTTCATCTGCTGTGCAATTTGTGCTGGCGGACGGGGGATGTCCCGGATGATTGGCGATCCGCAGTCATTGTGCCTTTATATAAAGGTAAAGCTTCACATTTAAACTGCGGGTGCCATCGGGCGATCAGCTTGACCAGTTTAGCAAGTAAAGTTTACTCGAAGGTTTTGACACGTAGGATGCAAGAGAAATTGGAAAGATTTCTATGGGAGGCACAATGCGGATTTAGACCTGGAAGAGGATGCACGGATCAAATGTTTTCTCTCCGCATGATCACGGAAAAGCTTCTGGCTGCTAACCAGAAGATTTTCTGTGCTTTTGTGGATCCTGAGAAAGCATTTGATAAGGTTGTAAGGAAGAAAATGTGGGAACTGAACCCCGGCAGGTTTGGTGTGGATGGTCGATTGCTAAGGGCTGTGCAGTCACTTAACTGTAAAGCCTATGTGCGGGTAGGGCATGACCTGTCACCCATGTTCAGCGTCCAAACGGGCATAAAACAGGGTTGTGTCATGTTTTCCTGGCTGTTCATACTGTATCTCGACAGCTGTTTACAGAAGCTGAAAGATAGCTGTTTGGGTGTGAAATTGGGTGACATTAAAGTAAATTGTCTACTGTATGCTGATGATGTAGTGCTAATTGCACCATCAGAGGCAGAACTGCAGGCATTAGTCACGTGTATGAAAGAGGAATGTGAAATTAAGGGTCTCCGTTTGAATACTAATAAAACTAAGGTTCTGGTATTTGAAAGGGACGAAAAGATAACAAAGTGTGAAATATGGGTAAACAGGTAAATGAAATTGTATACTTGGGGAGTGCTTTTAGTCGGGATGGAAGATGTGATTTAGATGTGGACAGGCGTGTCGCTGCCGGGAACAAAGTCAATGGTGCCCTGACTGCGTTAGTCAAAAGGCAAAGCGTAGTGAAGAGTGCACGCCTTGCAATACATAACGCAGTATTGGTACCGACTTTGTTATATGGCAGCGAAACCTGGGTATGCCAGAAGAAGCATAAAAGCAAGTTGAATGCAGTGGAGATGCGATCTCTTCGTAAAATGTGCGGCGTTACCGTGGCCGACCGAAAGCGAAACGAAGAGATTCGCAATATGGCAGGTTTGAAAGATGACCTTATCACAAAAATTGATAAGGGCGTGCTTCGATGGTTTGGGCACGTTGAGCGAATGAGTGAAGACCGAATGCTGAAAAAAATATATAGCGCGAAAGTTAATATTAAAAGGTGTCGAGGTAGACCGAGACTAATTTCGAAGACCATGTGAGCAAATTGCTCGAAGAGGGGAGGGTCAAGAGTACTCGGATACCTAGACGTGCATGTATGAAGAAGATAATGAATCTGAAAGAAGCGAAAGAGGTATGTAAGGATCGTGAAACTTGGCGATCTGTTCTCTCTGGCTACACCGTCAGGGATTGTGTGTGAAGATAAGTAAGTAAGTACGCAATTATTTTTTAGCTCCCTAGTTAGTTAACAGAAAAATAATCGATTCTCGATTAAATTGCGCTCGTTTCAAATCGAATCAAAAATCTGTATTTTTCTTTTAAGTGGAGAGTTTGAAGTTTAAACTGTCAAGTCAAGTTTCAAAATAAGAAGTCCTCTATTGGAAGATAACGTTCAGACACGAATTTCACTAGTGTATTCTTTGTAGTAAACGATTTATTACCATAAAATGTTTATTTTTCTTTTTCATAAGTGATTAATATATTTTATTTCCAAATAAATATATCATTCAAAGTACATAATATTTAATTCACTTTATTTTTTGGATCCGAATAAATATAATATCGATTGTACTAATACAATCGATTTTCTAACCAATTTCTTATTTTATTGTTTTTTCGAATTCTAGATTGTAAAAAGAGCTACTTTTTTGTAGTTTACTTTAGAAAAATATAGGCAATTTTTTAAAGTTTAAACCAAGTAGTTAACTTCAGGCTCAAAAACTCCACTCTCCTTTACATAAATCATACATATAAATAAAATTTAAATATCTGTCTGTAATATTGAAATAACTGCCTTTTTAGGCTTATATTGTTATTTGCGTGTTATTTAGAGATGAATAACCATTTTTTTATCTGTCTGTCTAGTCTGTCTGTCTGTCCAGGCTAATCTTTGTAACGGCTGAAACGATTGAAATGCAACTTCACGAACAGATAGAGAGCAATGCCGGAGGGATCTAGGCTACATTCAAACCGAAAAATATTGTAATATAATAATAAAGTTAAAAAATGATAAAAAAGTGGTTTATGTTAATTTTAATAATTAATATAAGACAGATGCCACTTCACAAGGACTATTTTACGAGTATTTTAATAGTGACGAATATTTAATAGTATTCTTGTTTATATATTATTTCATAGATCGCGAAAGCTAAAGTAGTCTTAAAACTAAGTTAGAAAACAGTTTAGGTGTATTTACCTAGTAAGTCTTAAATAAAAATAACAGATAATTATTTTTCATTTACGAACATTAAAATAAATATTTATCATTCACAGTGTCACAATCATCAACCGTGTCGTCAGTGTCTGCGGCACCGAGCACTGCAAGCAGCACGGCACAAGGCGTACCCCCTGCTCAGGCTTCCACTTCAGCAAGTGGCCGTGGGGGCTTCGCCCGCCAGGGCTCCCTGAGCGCTGCGCTCACTGAAGATGCTGAAGACACCATGAAGAACCTTAGGAAAACATTCGCAGGCATATTTGGCGACATGTAAACCCGAACTGACTTTTTACATTGAACAATCTGGAAAAAATCATTAACCTCATTACTTTCGGGTGCATTTTTTTTCTACATATGATATGCTTATCATAATGTTGTCCGTTGATGTATGAATTAATTTAACTGTCTACACGTTTATGTTTCATAAATAAGAACGACCGTTATAATATGACCGCTTTATACGAATACAATAATGTCAAATTCGGTTATAGTTTTATTTACCACAACTGAAAGATATTTTTTTAAAGATTAGACTATTGCACTGGTTCTAATGGGTTGTAAACAAAGTACAAGGTGTGACGCGAAACGTATAGAAAATAGTATTAAATGTAAAATAACATTAGGATTTTACACTAAGTTTGTAATAAAATATGAATCAACTGAGCTGCATTGTGATCGAACCCGTTCGGTACCCGCGTCGTGTCCTGCGTCGCACACGTAGTATTTCTCTGTCGCTGTCTCCAACTCTTCGATACACTTATTCAGTCGCTGCGACTTCGTAGAGGAGCGGCAACTCGCTAGCACAACTCTGTATTATCTCAATTGTTATAAAACCTATAATATAATATATATATATAACATTTGCATCGCTAAATAATCGCAAAGATATCATTCCTGTTAACATTTCTGACCTCATAGAATAGAAAAGTTGAAGCTAATCACGTTTATATTCCATTATATTGTGATTTCTTTTATGAACTAGTTTTTATTGTATTTAGCAGGTTTTAAAATATTGAATAAGGAAAAGCTTTTGTTGACATTTTACTCCAAAGTCCTAATATTTTACAAACAGCCAATATAAAAAAAAGTTTAGTTAGTAGTGAGTAAGTTTTTCAAATGTCCAGCTCATTATAAAACTAGAATTACTTCAATAAAATTAAAATGGATTGCCTTACGACTGGAGTCATTCCATTTAAATTTTCAGTCAAAAGACGAAGTGTCCGAGAAGACATGAAAAGCTAATAGTATCTTTAAAATTATTGGCAAAGGTTAGAGAGCAATTCTATTAAAGACAATATTGTTAAAAGCAAGAATAATCAACATTTTATATAATCTTATTAAATAGTTAAATCTCGTAATTATAAGAAAATATTTGTTATCCTTGTGTGTATTGGTAAAAGTATAGATTACTAAGACAGGCTTTAAAGTTTTGGTTTTATCTTGTTTGTTTTAATTTCCTGTAAACTACACGTATAATGATCGACACAATTTAAAAAAAAATCCATAATAGTCGAGCCTTTTAGGCAAACGTAAATGAATGTAAAGAATTAAAAGAATTTTGAAGATTGAATAATAATCTCTTTGTGTATGAGAAATCTACCAAAAGCAAAAATGTTAAAGGGAAATTAAATAAATTTATTTTTATCCCTTACCCAATAATTAAAACAATTATTCAGATAAATTCAGTGATATTTTCCGTGTAGATACAAAATTAATTACTCTTACTGCGGTTATAATAATAAAAGGTTTGTGAAGAAAGGGAATTACTGAAGGTCAGGTTATTAAAGTGTTGTTATTTCATGTAGTCAATATTCATCATACTCGTAATACGCTCCTTTACATAAGTAACGAGTTGCTTAATATAATAATCTTGCATATTTCCTACTATTATAATACACTAATCTGTAGTTTATCGAATAATATAAATGAAAGTAAAATATATAAATAAATAATTAGATTGAAACTGTTTTCGTATTACGCATATTTTATTTCCTATGACATGTAATAAGACCATATTATACACGATTTATATAACAGTTGTTATTGTACTTGTAGATTTTACAACGAAATATATTATGTGCGTTAATATATCCATTAATACTAGAAAAATAAGGTTGAACATTGCAAATACTTAGTTAAATTTGAGAAAGTCGTTTGATATTGAATCAATAATAAATATTCATTATCCTCAGTGCCAGATTAAGCCTATTTGTTAATTTCAACATTGCACTGGCCTCAAACCTAAGGAAATGATATTTCTATTGTTGTTATAGCATTGTATATTATTTCATTGTATTATATCATATATGAAAAATAAACTAACGATAAATAAATCACTCGAACTTAGATTTTGGGAACGTAGATTGATTATATCCATAGAATTTCGACTTCTACGATATGAGTCTTGTATTTGTAAATTCTATGGGAGGTAGCACTTATTTTAATGTGTAAACAATGGTTTACTTTATGGGCTATTTGGCACTGAATATCCTTCATAATTAAATGGATTAAATTTCAAAGTTCTCTGTTACCGTGGCCTTGACGCAACGTCATACTTGCATACTTCCGGACGAATACATTTAGACTGTACATGTAAGTGCACTAATAGCTAGATTTTCTCACTGAAACATTAGATTTCTACGTCTAGAAAATGCGCAATTAGTTATTACCATATTTATCACAGTAGTACGAGTAATTAGATGTAAATATAAGTTCAGTTAAATTTGTTTAGCATGTAAATTTAGTCTGAATTGTAACTAGGTAAATATTAATTTTCTCTTTCTTAGTTTATTATGCGTTGATTAACTGTTAGGATAATTATATACATAAACATATTAAACGCTGTTGTTGTTGTTGCTAAACAAGTTATACAAATTGTGTACTCATGGAAGTAAGTGTTAGATTGATCGCGATAAATTATATAGGTACATGCAGTTTAAGTATGGTTACTGTAATCAAATATTTCTCTTTACAACATCGTTTATCGTGATCTAATCTTCACGTCATTATAATAATCAAAATACATGCCTTGTCACGTTTGAATAGTATATTTTATTTTTTAGAAATATTTAAAGCTACTTTTACAAATATCGACATTTTGGGCGCTGTGAAATGTTAATATGAAGGATATACAAATTGTATTATTTTAAGATTATTTTTTAAAAGAAATTTTATAGTACTGACCATTTGCAGCAGTTAGTTCGTATCAATAATATAAATGTACAACAGATTTTTAATTTTTGTTTTATAAAATTGATAAATACCTATAAAAACGTGACATACATGTTTGTTCCAATGTACTATTTTAATGTAATTTGAATGCATGTTAATCTATATAATAAATACCTCTTTTGGTAATTCAATCATTAATTGTTTTTATATTTTTTTATGCAATTAATAATATTTGGCCCAAAATTACCCTAAGTCTAATTTTCTTAAATCAATTTTGGATGCCGCAATTCCTTCGTTATTAATCACCTGCATACTATAGAAAATTATACGTCGCTATAAATACAATATCTGAAAACAAACACAGATACCGTACAATAGTAATTTTGTAAAATTTCCTTCTTCAACGTTCTAAAAAAATCTAGTTTGATGTTAATCTGGGCTGTATGGCTTAAAAAGTTAGCTGATACTAACCGCACTGGGCAGGCGATACCCTCACGCGGTAATGCTAGTAGTCTTCGCCGCCATTTTGTCTACCGACTTCAAAAAGGAGACAGTACTCAATTCGACTATATGTTTTTTTTTTTATGTGTGTTACCTCATAACTTTTTACTGGATGTACCGATTTCGATGATTCTTTTTTCATTTGAAAGCTGGTGCTTCACATGAGGTCCCATATAATTATATATCCCATATAATTGATTAAAATTAGACCAGTAGATTTTGAGTTATTCTTAATAATTTATATTGAAGTCGGTTGTACAAAATTTTAAATATTTAATTATTATTTGTTTATGATTTTGTGGTTTTTATATACTGTTTATCATCTTCATTCGAAGGTTTTTTACGTGGTAGAGCCAACCTGCAGCTATATTTGTAGTATAGTTGTAGCACGAATGGGGCGGCTTGACTGGGGAAGGACCACGCTCTAACAGAATATCAGCATAAAATAGCAGCTTAATATTGCTGTTTCGTATGGTGAGTGTAGAGAACCGGAGACCATTTTACTGGAAAAGAGGCATTCTATCTTAATCCTCACGGGTGACAACGCATCTGCATTTTAATTCGCAAACGAAGACAGATGTAGATGTCTATGGGTCACAACAACCACTTACCATCAGGTGGACTGTGTGCTCATTTGTCACCCTATTTCTATAAAAAAAAAGAAGGTTAGAGCTTCGTCTGTTGGCCAGAAGTGTGTACAGTTAACAGCGTGCAGGGATTAAACAGTTTGAGAAAAAGTCACGACTTACGCTCCTTTTATCTTAAACCTTAAACCTAGGTATTACAAACCAAACCATTTTATATTTGCTACAGGATTTTAGTAATTTATGTTTGTCATCTTTGCTATAATAACGACTCGTTAGCGTTTGGGTGCATCACTGCAGGTCATAATCCCGTTTCCTGAAGAGGATGTAGGTATAGTATATCTTACAAATAATTGCCCCAGATCTCTGTGTTTGTCCATGTGCAATTTCACTTGTAAAACGAGTTCACAGCACAATGAGGAATTAATAAAATTTCAGTTAAACCGGTTTCTTAATGTAAAATACCATATTTTTATTTTCTTTCTTCCTGCTCCTGCTCCCAGGTACCTTCTTCTTCTTCTTTTTCTTCTTAAACACCCTTTAATATGTTTTTTTAGAATGAATCAACTAAGATATATACTTCAAAGAATTTGTCTACCCCCTCCACTTGAGTTGGTGAGTACAAACCTGGCACTGGTAATTCTGCTCCTCGTCAACAGTTTGATCGTTATCGATACTCATTCATTCATTCATTCATTCATTCATTACAACCTATCAAAAGTTACTACTAAATATAAGGCCAAAGGTTGCCTCATAGGGAGATTTTGTTATACTTATTTGCCACGCAGTTTTTTGTTTTCAGCAGTTATCGGAAAGATGCTGCTGCCCATCTTATTTTTCAACCGACTTCAAAAAGGAGGAGGTACTCAATTCGAATGTATGTTATTTTTATGTGTGTTACCTCATAACTTTTTTTCTGAGTGAACCGATTTCGATGATTTTTTTTTACTTGAAAGCTGGTGCTTCACATGTGGTGGTCCCATATAAATTTGATCAAGGTCTGACCAGTAGTTTTTGAGTTATTCTTAATAATTTATATTGAAGTCGGTTGTACAAATTTTTTAATTTTACCACCTGTCAATTATTGTTATGCCGCTAGGTACTGCACAGATATAATTTATAAAAAAAATAATTATTCTTTTATTATTAATAATTATTTGTAACTGGAATGTTGATTTAAAATGAAGTTTAATTATGAATGAATTTAATTAATAGAATCAGGCGTTACTTTGCGGAAATCCATTATATAAAAGCTTTTAGAAAAATTTACTTCGCAAATATCCGCGTTATAAAATAAAATGATGTGTCTTACCTAGTATGAAGAAATGTTGTGTCTTGCCTAGTGTAGTGGTGGTGGGAGTAGCGGTGCTGGGATTAGTGGTGACGGAGATAGTGCACGCAATTGAGGGAAGGCGGGAGGTGCACTTCATACTAGGTAAGACACATCATTTTATTTTATAACGCGGATATTTGCTGAGTAAATTTTTCTAAAAGCTAAGAATGAATTATTTAAGGATTATTTTCCCTTTTTATAAAATAATAATAATGTACTCAAGACCGAATTTCGGTCAAGTCGGTCAGCCTCTACGGAGAGTGACCATCGGCGCAGAACAGAATTATAGTGCACGAGTGTATGCGTAAGCACAGGTGCATTCTATTCCCTCACTCTCATAGTCCGATGAAACGGCAACCCGGAGACCGGACAGAGATCAGGCCCAGCACCAACGGCTTTTCGTTTTTCCGAGGCACGGGGGTGATACACCGCCAACTTTCTGACCTCGGGCATCTACTGAGAATTTCTGAACGGAAAAATTCAATAACTGATTATTTTTCACCCGACCCGGAATTCGAACCCAGGATTTCATGATCAGCAGTCGCGTTTATAACCACGAGACCAGCGAGGCAGTTGTATAAAATTGAGGTGACAAAAAAACTTACAATTAAATTGATATTAAGTAGCCTATTGTATACCTGCAACTGCATCCAAACTATAAGAAAGAAGGTTGCTTCGTTTTGTTCTTAAATAAATTAATTACTTATTTTAAAAACTAAGTACCTTCTTAAATATTTAAAATTTCAAATTAATTTTTGTATATGAAAAGAAAGAGAAAACAGGGGAATACGAGATGATTTTGTAAATTTTTTATAGATATATAAGTAGCAGCACGAAAGTCTAGCAGTGGCCGTTATTGCGCATATGTCGCGCTGATTGGCTCGTGCGTATCGTTCGCAAGTGCTGATTGGCTCTCCAGTCTATTTATGCAATTCAATTCATGCGCGTTCCCTCCACGTTTCGTTCAGCACTAGATTTACGTGCCGCGACTTGTAATACACTTCGAGATGCATTTGTCTCTCGATTGTCTATCGCAGTCGATCGGGCACAGCGCGACTACATTAGATCTGTTAAAAACCTAATCTCCAAAATGTCTTGCCGCCCAGATAATCTCTTAAATATTTATTCTTATTCAATTAGAAAATATATAAAAAGGAATTAATCGACATGATTATTTTAATATGAAGTAATAATATCTATTATAAAATACAGTTTATTTTTTTTAGTTATAACTATAATTAAAAAATTCAAAATATTCATTTTATACAGTTAATAAACAAAAGGTTAAAATTCGTACTAAGCAATTGTAAATTCAAACACAACTACCAAAATCTTGTTATTATATTTCTTGATAAGACGATCACATTATATCATATTCAGTCAGGAATATCCCACAGGATCCATTCCAGTGTTGAGACTGTAATTACGGTACATGCCAGCGGCGGCGAGTCGGTTGGTGAAAACCTGGCCTGCTGGAAAGTAAACCGAGGGGACCGAGTGGATACCTGTTGATTTACATACAATTAAATCAAAGAGAGTCATGGTAGCTCAGAGAAAAACTTTCGTCTTAAAATTTCATGGCACGTCCGCAACCCGAGTCCGATCACCGCTGATACCAATGAAATTGTTAGATGAAATTTTAACCGCTAATGTGCCCCCTGCTGGGGTGTCATTTACTAGGTAGGGAAGGAAAACATTGAAAGATTTCCTTGCTTGCTTGAGAAATAAAAAAAAATTCGAGGGCAGCGCGGGGAATCTTTCCTACCCCAAAAGCCTCCAGTAATGACAGGAGGCCTTTACTTTTTATAGAAATGAAATGAAACGCTGATGATGATGGCTGATAGCTTAGATCTCTTCGACGACTTTCGTATACGGTCGTGAGTTACGCAGATCATTATAATGCTACGTATATCACAACTCTTATGCATGTATGGATGTAAATCTGCCTGTTACGACCTGCTGTAGCCTAAATGACTTGACACATTTCGAAGTGCAATATGTCATAATATTCGTCTTCACCTCCGGAGTATCGACGACTACATTTTTGTATGGTATTTTTTGTAGTACTGCACAAAATATAACTATTTAAGGTTTGCTAGAGAATCGAGGTTACTTCAAGTGAAACATCTAACGTATTTTTTTATTTTATTACAAATAACTACACAGCTACAAAAACATTATTGGTTTCAAAAGCCAATTAATATTAATCTGAAATTGCTCTTATACTCTCTCTATAAAATATTTGTAACTTATTTTAACGAGGATAAATCCATTCCTGTGTTTAAGGAATAATTGCGATACATGCCGGCTTGTGCTAAACTATTGGAAAACTTTTGGTTCATTGGAAAATAAGCTGACGGCACTGTATGCATACCTAAAAAAAGTAAATATTTCTATTATTTTCTTATCAGAAGCATTTAATTATTAAAAGTAAAGAAATGAAGCCTTTGATTGTCGAAACTTGGGCGTTGCTACAGTCCTTTCAGCAGTGCCAAGTTGACTGTGGTATATAGAAGTGCTGAAGTATTTCTACAGTAGGGCTACGCTGGCTATCCGTGTACAGAACCAGAGCACGAAATCTATCTAACTGCAGAAAGGTGTAAGACAGGGTGAAGTTATATCCCCGAAACTCTTCACCGCTGCATTGGAAGACATTTTCAAGCTACTGGACTGGAAATGATAGGGTATTAACATCAATGGCGAACACATCATTTGAATTCAATTGGCCGACGATATCTGGGGGCACGGTAGTGCCCCCGCTAAGTCGAGCAAAACAGCAGCACGGCCGTACCATCCTTTTTCTCGAAGCAGTTCAGGCCATTTTCGAAACCCTATAACTTCATTGTGGATAAAATTAGAAGCCTGAATTTTACTGAACCAACTGAGAAATTTCATTAAATTTGAACCAGTACTTTAAGAATTATAACTAGTCAAAGTTTCTTAATTCTGTCACTCGCTGACTGACCGATCATCAAAACTCTAAGGCACTTCTAGCAGACATAGAAGCTTCAAATTTGGAATACAATTATTATTTAATATATTAATCAAGGAAAAATTAAAATATTTTGGAATTTCGGTCCAGTTTTCGAGATACACCAACTGTATAAATAACTTTGTAATCCCATATAAATATATAGGATTACAAAGTTACATTTGCAGTTAATGAATTAGTGTACCTATATAATATGTATAATATAATGGAATAATAGGTGTAGATAGGTACCTAGATATAACTATCTACAAAAAGAAATGAGATGCCATCAAAAACATAACTTGTAAAAAAATCCAAGTCTCGCAACTCAATTCTTCTACCGTAAAAAGTTGTGAGATCCATGTAATACAAAGTCGGTTAATTTAATCAGTCCCTACTTAAGGGTCCTTCTGTCTTAAGTTATTACATAATTACCTTTTTTTTCGCACGTTATAAGCATTCATTCGAAACAAGAAACAACTAAGTTTGTCAGTAATATCTTGTAGCCTCAAAACTTGCCACATATGATAAAAGGCACAAACAGGTGATGAGAAGTAGCGTCAAAAATGCGACATAATCAATGGACAAAATCGACACTGTCGTCTAAAACGTAGTATCTATGCATTATTTTACTATTTGCTGTCTTTTCCTGTTCGATTGTTCTTACTGAGCTGATCCTTATCACCTTCACTTATTGTCGTTAACGAGCTGAGGATAATTCTTTTTAATTGACCTTTGTATCTTATAATGAAAAAATCATTTAGTATCTTTAAACTATTACCTGGAGGGTACCATCCATATTCGCTGGATGTCGTCCTATATAATGGATGTTGACTATTCTGCTGGCATCCGTAACCATTGAAAATATCTAAAAATAATATTAAATTAAAATTCAATCAATATGTACTGCTAATAAGAATAAGATATTCAAGAACAATATGTCATTTTCTTTGACGTAAAATAATTAAATAAATTACAAATTTATAATATTTGAACATATGTATATTATTAGGGGCCATGAGCTTAAAAAGGTTAAGTTTACATTTTTAGAGTGGTGTCGTTGATCCCGTCCTATTTACCATTATATGCGGGTAAAATGTATTGATCTGGTTAAACAGTGTTGTAAGTACCTATTTAACATATTCAACAAAAAGAACAAGTTGAAAAAACTTTTATTATTTATAAATAAGGAAGTGTCTATTCATACGATTATCGGACGATTTTTTTCTTATCGATAATCGATAAATCGTATATTTAAACGATTATCGATATCGATTATCGATAATCGTTAATATAATATTATATAATTTAATTATATACAATATTAAAAACTATAATAATAAAAAAAAAACTAAAACTAGAAACTTAATTATCATATAGTCCTACTCCCCGCGGTATCGTGCGTAGAACGCTGGCTGCATTTCCCCGCTGAATGGCTATACTTAGCCTTTGAGTGTGAGAAAAGAACGAGCCCTCTTATTACCAGCAGCAACGACCAGCCGCGGATGGAGTTCCTTTAGGAACTTCACCGCACGTGGACCCCACGGACCGATAGTCTCTACAGCAAATGGCACAAATATGTAGTCATCTCTCAGAAACTCATATTTGCGCCACTTACTAGTTCAGCTGCATCTGATGCCGCCCCGGCTCTAAACGAGGTACCCCTGAGATGAGAGGCCGCCAGAGTGTCTACGCAAGTAGCATCCCACACTAGCTCTTTACCTCTCTCTCAAGGGACCAATGTCATACCGTCGGGTCTCCTGCCATCGTTTCTAAATATTCCACAAGGCTCTAAAACCGAGGGAACATTTATAGAGACAAGAGCCCTTCGGATGACATCGTTGAAAGAACTGTGTCGTGAAAATCTAAAGTCCGTGGAGCCCAAACTTGTCGACGCTGCTACCACAGGGGCACTGATGGGGTTGACAAATCGCTGCTCCTAGTCGGATTCCCACGGCGATGCGCAAGCTCTCCCCATCAAGTAATGTGCCTAGATTACTTGAAGGTAAAGCGTATAACCAGAGACTAGACTGACTTAGTCGACTTTTATATTATATTTAATATACAGTACATTTCTGTCGGCAGCAGTTTTTACTTATGGCTGTGTCTGTTTCTTTTTTTATACACCCTGATACTTACTCGTATGATTAGGGTATTTGCGTCTAATAAAACATTATGTCAGTGACAGCATGGTAAGGTGCGGCTGCCTTGGGTGATCCATGGGCCACCCTTGAGCCACAAACATTATAATGATATAAAATATAATATTAAAAGAATTGAATATATATACTTATTCATCAGAGAATATATCTGACGAATAATTATTTTTTAATCATACGATTATCGTATGCTCAGCAACAGCCTATAAATAGAGGCAATGATAATATTTGTATAATCTAATAAATGATATATATATAAGTCTTCTGTAAAAATACGTCACCGTCACTGAACTTATTTTAAGAAATATCCGATGTTTAAAATAAGTTCAGTGACAAAAAATATGGCTTTCAACAAACTACGCAAGTCATACTAAAACTACGCAGTACTTACGAGGGTATTCAAATCTCTTCGGAAGATTACATGTTGCAAATATGTCGGATGTCTTTATTTCAGGCTTATTTATATTGTGCTGCAAACAAGCTCTATCAGTGCAAGTCGCTGAACAAAAACCCGGCTCCATTTGTTTTTGAGTTTCTTGCTTTCCTGGCTTTACATCACTCATTGTTTAATTAAATAAATGTCTTCGAAAACTCAATAACACGGCGAAATAAATGTTTGTAAGTTGCCAAGACAACCAACTCTCAAATATATATTAGCTTAGACTTCATTACAAAATAGACGCAGTTATTTATATATAGGTACTCTTTGCTGCTAAGGTGCATTATAATATACAACCGTGATATAAGTAGGTATTTAATACGAAAAGGCGGGTTTTTTTCAAAATATAACAAAGTAAAGCGTCAATCAATGTATGAATCGCACAGTGTTCCCAATCGATAAACGACTTAGTTTTAATCGTTAAACGTATATACGAGTAAATAAATCGTTTACAATGCGTTATATTGGAAACTGATTGTATGTATTTCTTTAAAAATCTCAATCAATATAAAATGAAAATACATTTTCCAATTTTAAGTAGAAGCTATAGCAAAAGAATTTTGAAAACAACAACAAATAATTACTTTTTTTTATAGAATAAGGGTGACAAACGAGAACACAGTCCACCTGATGGTAAGTGGTTGCTGTGGCCCATAGACATCTACATCTATCTTCGCGTTGTCAGCCGTGAGGACTATAATAGAATGCCTCTTTTCTAGTAAAATGGGTCTCCGGTTCTCTATACTCACCATATGAAACACAGCAGCATTATGCTGCTATTTTATGCTGGTATTCTGTGAGAGTGTGGTCCTTCCTGGGTCGAGCCGACAGATTCGTGCTACAACTATACTATTGATATATAATAATAAAATACAGAATAAGGTATGAGTTCTCTAAGTTCTCAAAAACCTTAAAAGGCCCATGTAAGAGGCCCATATCCAGCAATGAACATTACTGCACATGTCCTTCTTCAATTATAGAAAGGATTTACCTCAATCGTCACGCCTGCAAACGAATTAACGATCGCGGTACAAGACTGAGAAAGTATAAAACAATATTCACAATAAAAAAGATTTAGGTTAACGGAAACTGAAATAAGCTGAAAATAAGTGTCTAAGAATTATTTTCCATAATTACTTTTACAAAACTGGTTTCGCTATCTACGGCGCGTGTGTACTTAACATCAGTTTTTGTACCTATCTTAAGATCAACGCACACAAAAATGTAACAGGAGAACTTTAATTTTACACCAAAATAATGTTTTATGGGTTTGTCTAAAATTTAGAGTTCATAAATATTCGTCAGCCAACATGTGCATAATTTGATATTTTGTTCTTATGTAATTATATATAGTACTTTTATATATATAAAATGCCGAATTGTTCAGTTTTTTTGCTGCAATAAGAGTTTACCACGTCAAATTTACAAAACGATAGCATTACCTTTTCTATGTAAGTAATTCTTAATGGCATTAGTGCTACTGCTATTTGTTTCTTTTTAATCCTGCTATTGTAATTTTTATTACAATAATAACGGTCTATAGTTGCCATAGTAACGGCCGTGTTGTTTCGGATTTGTTTACCAACACAGGCCGCTCGCCCTCAGTCATTATGCGGTTCGGTCGAGCAACTGATCCGAGTCCGTATCCGAGTTGTTACTATCACCGAGCGATATTTTGATTGTATACCGAGTTTTAAATAGTTAAAATAGATAAAAATGGCAAATAATATGGTCTAGGTCTATACAGCCATATCTCTTGTGCATATTATCATTTTTGAGATTATGTTTTCTGATTTATTTTTAATATATATTGTGAACTTTATTACAATATAATTTAATATTAAAATTGCATTAAATTAAATATAATACAATACTTACGAGTATTGATACATTAAATTAAAATTACTGTGAACTTCGACGATATTGTTTTTTTATTTATTTATTGCAGGTTTCCTAAAGATCAGAGTTTAAAGGATATATGGAAGCACTTTTGTAAAAACAGGCTTACCTGTCTTCCTACAAGAAACAGCGACATTTGCTCAGATCATTTCCAGCCAATTGGCGAATAATAGAAGGCATATATTATTATTCCGCAAGATTTTTTTACATTACATTACATCAGGTTGACTGATGGTAAGTAAACTGTGGCCCATGGACATTTACGATCTCAAGGCCAACAAATCGCTTCAGTTGCAAATGCGTCGCCAACCCTGAGGACTAAGATGTAATGCCACGTGCCATCCGTAAAATTTTGAATAATATATGTAGTACAGTGTACACTTCACAACACTTCAAAAAATTAACAATGTTAAATCTAATTTTCCAAAGCCATCAAGTATCATTTACTCTACCAGATGATAGACTATCTTCTTACGATGCCATTAATGCCACTCTCACTATTCCTGATTTGAAATCTGCATGTCCAACATCAACTCCTCCACTGGCGAGTTTCCTTTATATATATAATACGCTTGATTAAAATAAATAGGTACGTATTTATTAAATAGTAATTTCTACTATTTTATTATTGAGATTAAGTGAGCTGCATAGAAAGATGATAACAACATAATATAGCCTATTTATTTTTCAGGCTCAGTCAAAGGAAGCATCTGAAAATTATAATTCGATTGCCACCATTACACTTTCACCAAGAAAAATAAAAATGCAGTAACACCTATATTATCAGAAAAAAGGCTCCAATCTAAACCTCTTTTTTTTAAAGAAAAAAGTTGCTGGGTAGAAAAAAATTCTCCAGAAAAATAGCATTGACAAAATTCATACACACGATCAATCATTCTGAAGACGATTAATTGTATTATAAAATATTTAATAGACTATTTCCAGTATAATGACCCAAATATCACCATTAATGTATGACTGGCACACTTAAGGTGTCGTCCTAATACAACGCTATTACGCGATCATCGCGCGAGTAAGCGATGCGACCATTGCGTGCTCGCGCGATATCAAAAGTTAGCTGTCCTAATAGAACGCAAATACGCGATCATCGCGCGGATTAACGATGCGAGCGACCGCTGTTCCGCTTCGCTTCGCAGTTTGCGCATGGCATTGGCGCTAAGCATGGACGTCAGAAACACCCAGTAGTGATTATATTCTCTTTGCACCCAGTTTTTAATTTCTGGTAATATATAGATGACCTATTTTGACGGCAATGAAAAAACAAACTGGGTCAAAATGTGCTTTGTAGGAAATGAGACCGATACGTGGTGAATTTCACAATCAATATATCAGGTCCCTGCCCTTCACCCCGCTGCCCGACGACACAACGCGATTGCCGCGCGAATTGCAATTAGGACACCTATTATACGGCGTCCTAGGTGGGCGGTTCAAAGCGAACGCGAGTACACGCGAATTCAATGCGATGCGGTGCGACGCGGCGGCTATGTCCTACGTGCACGCGAATCGTCTCGCACAGCCGCCACCGACGACGCCGCCGTTCAGTGGGCACTGTGCATTTGTCATGGACGGACGGAAACAAATATTATTGGACAATTCATTTCTTAAGTATCAAATACTCAAGAAGTATATACGGCGCGGAAGTGGGACTAATATTGTATACTTAGAAAGGCATATTTATGGGGAATTTCACAATTTGTATGAGGAATTACGGGCTCAACCTTTGTTATTCAAGGAATATTGTCGAATGTTGCCTACAACGTTTGACTATATTGTGCAAGCCATAAAACCTGTTTTGCAATTCACTAGTACCAATTTCCAGCGACCTATTTCTGTAGATTCTACTTCTACAGTGTAGAAGAACGATTGATGGTGACTTTAAGGTAAGAAAAAAGAAAAAGAAATATTTCTTACATTTATTATTATGTATCATTAGCAGTAAGAAGTAGTCCCAGTTAATTTAGCCAAATCCTCCCATTCACGGTACGATAATAACCGGTTGTGATAATTTTTATTCCTTTTATCCCATAATATAGGACGTTCTTACGTTCGTTCGGACGTTCTCAGCATTAATAAAATTTTCTGACATTATCCAAACAAAAACACGACGACACCGCATCCAGTTCACGCGAAAATATCAAGACAACTGATCGCGTTGGCAAGAAATAATTTTATCAGGTTTCAAAAATCAATGAAAATACATAAAATCAAAAATATTAAAATCAAAAAATGTAGATCTGTATGTTTATACATACATATATTGATTTATAGCCGCTTATTAACTGACGGTTACTCAGTACCTATATAACATCCTGCAGTCACGCCAAAACTAAGAACCGAGAATCACTGTACAAAACGTAATAATTTATTTCAAAATTTTGTGATAAAATTAAAAAGTTACAATTTTATCCAAGATACCCAATACGTTACAGAAAAAAATATAACAAATAATAAGCTAATGAGTTTTTGTCAGTTTTTAAAAAGGTTACAAGATATAACAAAAAGATACAAAAATAAATGTCAAAAAAGTTTACGATCTGATTGACGATATAGAGCTGACACTTAATGATGCTTTTGGAAACCACGCCAGTTGTAAACAATACTTCTGTGAAAAGTGGTGTACACAAAAGAGTTAAGAACAGACAAAATCTTTCTTTTCAAATTTCCGCCGAGTTTTAAGTAGAAGGCCAAATACGCCATGTGCCAATTTAATTAGATACATTTTATATAAAGTGATCTTGACTACGCTTCATCAATTCACCATTAATAAAAACGAGAGAAGCAATTTTACAATTGTGTTTACAAAAAACACTATCAGTTGAACCTTGCAGCCTGTTCATTATTTTTATTATAAATACCTATAAATGTACAGTCAACAAGGGTAACTTTGACATTCAAATCGCAAAATACTTTTTATTTTTTACGTGCACAACATTTAGTGCATAACATTAAATTTATACAATTCGTGTACTTAACAAACTTCGTAAACGAACTCTAGAAACGAAAAAAAAAGAAAAACTCGAAAAAAAAAGAAAGTATCTTCCAAAGTTAATGTTAAAAACTTATTTAAAAGTACCGCACGCAACTGTTGTCTTTTTGCAGTGGTAAACTTTTAAAAATTTAAATGTGATTACCAAAGAGTTTAAATAAAGATAGAACTACAACTTTATGGTTTTATTGACTTGTATATGACTCCACTGCATCTGA